TGTAGTGAAAGAAAATGTCAGATAGTAGCTAGTATAATCCAAATTATACTGAGTGATATTGGGATTTTGCTCATTGTAATCTCCCATTTCCTGCAGTAAAATCTCAGATTATACCGCGTAAGATTCCCCTAGATATAATTCGAGATTGTATCCTTAAGAATTTGGATTATGCTCAGTAGAACCTTGGATTATACCCAGTGATATCTCCGCGATTTTTTTTCTAGCGCCTGCGCACTTAGCATTATCATGATTATAAACAGGTTAGATCTTATGATAATATTACTTGTAGGCGCGCAGTAGCCTATCGGATCCGGCCCTTGCTTACTAAAGCATTGGACCGGGTTCGAGTCCGGCGTACACCAATGAATATTTTCAATATTTAAGTGTATTATTCTGCTCAGCCCAAGAAATAAAACGAGTTCCAATCTCAAAAGTTTACCCCCTACCGTAGTCGCTCATGACCTTAGTAGTTTATGCGACTTTAAACAAATTAAGAAAAAAAAAAAAAAAATATTACTTGTGACAAGTCTAAACATAAAACATACGTCTTGTACACTATTTTTACATACCTTGTAATTTTAATAATTATAACGGCTATAAGACATAATGTTATATAACACAAAATATAAATGTTTACACACTAATTAATGCACCGATTATATTTTTTTAATATTCAATATACTGATGATTGACTATGATTCACAAATGGTAAACAGCACTTCACGCACAGGCGCTACAAAGAAAATGGCGCAGATATCACTGGGTATAAATCCAAGATTCTACCGAGTATAATCCAAATTCTACAGGATACAATCTCGGATTACATCTAATGGAATCTTACGCAGTATAATCTAAGATTTTACTGGGAAAATGGGAGATTACAATGAGTATAATCCAGATATCACTTAGTATAATTTGGATTATACATGATCTGCTCAATTGACACACTGCAATTGAATAATTTTGTTTTGTTTAAAAATATTCAGAACGAAGTATTGATTACATCAATTTATTTTTGCATGAAATGCAGAGGCAACAATAAGTAGCTTTACTAGTAAAGATTGTGTTGATTGATAAATAATACCAATTAGAGTTTCTAGAAGACAATTGGTATTATCATTGTCTAAGACATTGTAAACAAGGCGGTTGGTCAGTTTAAGTCCTTTTCTTGAACTTATAAGAGGATACAACTAGTTCTCTGGGAAACAATAGGTTGACGTAAGCTTTACGTAAAACTACTAGAGAACTTGAAAAGTGACTTCAGTACATGTGTCCTAAGAATTAATAGATGAAATGAATTCTTAATGTTGCATTGAAAACTTCCTAATTTTTTATATTGATTTAAAAGTTTATCAAATTTCTGAGAATGTTTCAAATTAATATAAAATATACAACGAATTTTTGAAGAATTAAAGTGTATACATAATTTTAAATATTACACTTTCAGAGAGGAATGAACTATTTCGATATAAATACTTATTAAAATTATGAACTTTGTATTTACTTTACAGACAAACAAGCCAAACTGTAAATAGTAGTCCATGCCTTTGTAATTAGTGAAATACTTGCTGCTTGAATTTTATAAGAAAAATGCAATAATAATAAATCTTTATAGTAGCAAAATATCCGGCTTATTTTCACATTTTCATCTGCTTATCACCGCACTATATTTCCTACTGCCGTAAATAGGATGAATTTACAAGCTAATAATGATATAAATAAGGTATTACGGAGTTGGTTGTGTAATTATACTTTTTCAACGACATTGAATATTTAACTAACTATTGCGGAAGCTTTATATGAGTCCGTATGAAATTTTTTTAAAAAATAGATAATAAAATTAAATTTTTGAAAATGCATTTACTATGACCAACCCTTGAGGTAGTTGCTCCGTGGTATAGTGTGGACAGAGAGCATTTATTATCGTCGAAAGTTTGGTACTACTGTCAAATCATTATTTATCATAGAAGTACTATATCAAAGTGACCAAAAAAATGTTTAAATTATTATATCTTTACAAGAAAACGATAAAATGTTACTTTTTTTCATTAAGATAGTTGTGGTTCAGGCATACCGTCAGAAAATTCTAAATTTTTGTATAGTTATTAAGGACATGATGATACAATTACCCTTAAAATTTGAAGTCGATTGACCACCTATAACCCGAGATGAATTTAATTAAATATTAGATACTTAACATTGATTGCATACGCTATCTGCAATTCTGTACCAGTTTCTTATAGCTATAAAAAAAAAAACTAACTGTCAGAAACTTTCAAAAAACTGACAGTCTTTTAATGTATTTGTTGTGAGTTTAAAAAAAAATTTTTGACCGTCTAATTATTTATAAATAACGGATTAAAATTCAAAAATTTATGAAAAAATATATATCTACGGAGCCGGAACACGGAAAAAAGTAAACTGTAATATTTACTCGGATTCCGGTTAGTTTTTATAGTTTCAAACAGTAAAGCGGACATCGGGGTGGCAAAAATGTAAATATTACAGAACTTAATGTAGAAAGTATAAAAGCCACAATTTATAATTTAATATCCAAAATAAGTGATTAGTAGTTGTCACTATAGTAAATAACCACTCTTTCATCTTTAATGTAGTTCCAGCGTGGTATAGTATAGTCAGAGCATTTACTATGGACAAAAATTTAAAAGCTTCGGCACACAGACGTTCACACATACAATTACATATTGTTAGTCTAGTGATCTGGCAACGTTGCTCTTGAAAACCGTGAAAGATTTGAATTTCCCGCTTTTTATGCTACACTATTTCAGGGAGCGTTGCGCACGGCGTTGCCAAATCACTATAAGTTGTTAAGTGAGCAGGTTAGAAATGGATTGAAATTTATTTTTTAAAATTATTATATCTCGATAACAAAACGGTGAGGTGCTATTTTTATTTTTTTAACTTATTCTAAAAACATTTTTCAACACTCTCCTAATTTTTTTTCCAATTCTGTCGAGAGAATTTTTTAATATCATAAAAAATAGTTGGAGAGACCGGACATTTTACGTGCTTTAGATGGAACATGACCCTCAAAATCGCCAACTTTGACTTTAAATATCTCGCGATCTAAACGGTCAAAAATTATGAAATTTCAGGAATTTATAAATAAAGCTATTCTGAACCCGTAAAAAAAATTTCAGCCAAATCTGTCGAAAAGTGATTTCATGCTGGAACTACCTTAAAAATTACAGTTTCAAACAGTCAAAATTGCCATTTCAATATATAGTCCATATTATGAAAAGAAGGGGAACTCAGGTGAAAGAGAAGGGGGTCTCACTCTGGGAGAATTTAACATTTCAAACAGTAAAAATTATACTTTTAAAATATACATTTTACCAGTCTAAGCAAGTCAATAATTACAGTTTGATTTTTAGCGTTGCGTTTAAAATTTACCATTTTATTTTGTAAATATTGACGTTGCTTGTATTAGAAATTTACTAACTTTATTTTATACTTTTTACATATCATAACATCATTTTTTAGGTACGAAATGATAAATATTAAAGTCTGAATTCTTAATTATTATACTTTAACATTTTAGACATTTACATAGCGAATATTACTGTTTGAAATAGTATTTTCTTCCATGTAAAGAGTAAATTGTAACGTTTAAATTGTAAATATTACAATGTGAATAGTAAAATCATGATTTTACTGTTTGAAATGGTAATTTTTAGCAGTTGATCATTACTTATTATAAATCGACTGTTATTTATTACAGTTTACTTTTTTCCGTGCAGAAACAATTGTATGGGTTGCGTCTTCACGAGTACAGTCTTGCGTAAAAATGATGGATTACTTAGCTACAAGCTCATATACTTTTGCGGCGCGTATAATCTCTAATTTTTTGACAATATTGTACCATGACAACTACCTTAACCCTCTGAGGCTTCTGAGCGTTTCTCCTACTTTGCGGACTGTTTAGCAGGCGGCCCGTATCTGCGTAGTATGTGTCCGTGTGTTCTCATGAGCAGTAGCGTACCTACTATAGTCTAAAATAAGAATAGAATTTGACAAAAAATTTTTGGTAATCTATAATTTTATACAGAAGTTTATCTGATTTTTTTTTTAATTTAATTATTTAAAGATTTGTGATTAACAATTTTAACATACAAAATCAACTCAAACGCTTCAGGTGACAAATGTTTGTAAATGGGTCATCAACAGAACCCATTTAATAGCTGTTAGACAGTACTGACCGAGCACGAGTCCCGTAAACTCAGGTAGTGGGGACAGTAAGCACACGTCATTTCCGATCCCTACTCCGGTGCCATGCGGCTCATTTAGTCCAACGTCGGCGTTAAAGGGTTAATTAATCAAAAAAATCTAACATGATAAAAAATTTATTAATCAAAATAAGAATACATTATAAAATAAACATCGGATATAGTTTAAAAATAATTTTATTTATTATTATAAATGCATTATTCGATACAAAATTATGAAAAAATAGAAATAGTATTAAAATTATCAGTGAAAACTTGCTTTATATGAAAACTTTACTTAGATCGATTCACGCATAACATTAGTGCCAAAGATATGCACTTTTGAATTTATCAAACTTTTTGCTCTCCCCCCAAGTAATTGCATTCAATTAATGTTTTAATTTCTTTAAAACATCACTTTCAAAATACATACACATATATAATTATAGAATAATTATTTATCATGTAATTACTTTAGATATTGATACAAAAAAATTTATAGATCTACACAGAAAGAAAGGTTCACTTGAGCCAAGAAAATATTTTTCTTCATAATTATTTACTTGGGCGAAAAAAAAATTTTTTTTTGACACAAGAAATTTCACTTATTCTAACAAATCAACTCTCTTGCTTCAAGAAATACGTTTCTTGATCCAAGACAATTTACTTGAGCCAAGAATTTTGTTCTCCAGTCAAGAAATCTTTCTTTCTGTGTACGAAACCTAAATTTGGTTTACAAAGATCTTATGCGGTCTAAGTAGAAGTTAGTCCCAGCTAAAAGTTGATAGTTGCATTAATTTCGGATATTTCGGATGGAGAAAAATAATTGTTTAATTTTTCATAAATCTCTTTGTGAACAGAAGTAGTATTGATGAATAATTCTGACCTCTGCTGTTCAAGTGATTTTTCGATGTCTAAATATATATTGAAAAATCCAATCTGTTCGTAATTATTTGTATTGTTTTTTTGGCACACCAATGGACTTCCACGGTAGTATGTCTAAAAATAATAAAAGCATCACCAACTTACTTTCTCTGAATTACATTGAAAAAAAATAACTGTCTAACTTACTTTAAAAAATACAACTGCTGCTTTTTCAAAATTTAAATTGGTATCTTCGATAATAAGTGTATAATTAACTCCATCATATTTAAATATTTGTGCAGAATGATTTACTATTTCTGCTTTATACGGAGCGACAAGTGTTACTAGTGAAATGAATTTCTGATCTAAAATGCATTTGATTGTTCTATAAATTTTTATCAATTATTTTACTCTATTTATATAAAACAAAATTTGTTGTTTCAATTACCAGTAGCATTCAACGGATTATTTTGATTAATTAGTGATAGAGCTGTTGGAGCAAAGAGATAACAGTTGCTATAATTATTCATGGTATTAGTAGCTAAATGAATGACGTTTATTCTTTCGTTCAAATTGAACGGACTATCGAGAATAATTATAGCATAACTGTTATTGCCATTCGAAGATTTTTCTGAACTAATGTTACCATTAATTATACGAAAAAAATTGCGAAATTGGCAATCATCAACATTCTGGTCATTGATGTCCTTGTAAACCCAACAACCCGCAGCAATCCCATAATCACTCGTTGATCTAGAAAATAAATTATTCAATTTTTTTATTTAAAAATTTATATAAAATTATAATTTACATTATGTATTAGATGTTGAAATGGAGAATATACTTATATAATATTGTTGGATTCAACGTAATAACCGCTTGAGGGTGAATAATGGATCCGTAATCAAGGGCTGAACAACAGTAATCACAAAAATTTCATTAGACATCGATTATGAACAAACAAGTATCTTACATTCATGTCCTAAAACTTCGAATCCGGAAGATGTGTTTTTAACTATTATTCCTGTCCACGCTGATAAATTTACATTGACACTTTGTCTTTCTACTCGATTCAAATATGTAACAAAACAGCCTTCGCTCAATGTAACAACGATTGAAACGATAAATATTTTTATCATAACTTTCATTTTTAAATCTAATCTAGCTTCTTGCTTTCTGGCTAATAACTCACTGAAACGAATTAAATAGTTTTTATTCGTATCCAACCAGCTGTTTCAATAATTAGTACTTATCTACTTCAATATGATAATCTTCTAGTTCAGTATTACATTCTTAAAAACCAAGTGTTGTAGCATATGTTCGATCAAGAACAATTAAGCTGTACATTTATTCAAAGTGTATATAGTTTCAATTAATTATACATGCTGGAAAATAACAAACGATTGGACTTTAATCATTTCTTTTAATCATATTTTTTTTTTTTTTTTTTTTATTTAATTTCTGTTTATCAAGATACAAAGTCTTATAACAGAGAGGAGCATTATACAAAATATATAAATTTTAATCATATTACACATATTAACTATGATTGGATTTCTATAAAAATTTAAGAATAATTTCGTTAATCAAAATCTGTATAGCTTAAGAGTTTATTTCATGTGTGAAATACAAACTCATACACGACCTCTTATCATCACTATAATTGTCATAAACAGTCAAGTATGGCAAACTTTGTTTTGTAGTTAATCGATCTATGCATTAGTTAAGCTAGCAATGATAAAATTCAATTCCCGGGTAAAAAACTATAGATAATTCATGCAATTATATATATGATTCACAGGTTCCAAATATATGAAAAAAAAAATTCACACCAAATTGCAGCAATTAATTTTGAAATTAACCCGGTCCCCACGACAGCCAAAGTTTTAAGTGGAATTAACATGGAAAAAGCTTTGTGATCACTTTTGAATTTTTTAAGTTATGCACTAATGAACGGACCATATCGACATAGAATAATTTTTGTAGCAAATTTAACGCTCTACAAAAAAGGTCTTTTATAATTTTTTTGCTAACTTGATTAGTTCAAAATTAACTCGATGTAAAAATCAAATTTCAAGTCAATTCCATGGTTTTTTTTTCATTTTTGTCGTAGTTTTATGATTTAAACGTAAACAAAAGGTTATAATTCATAGACTAGATGGTTTTTTTTTTTTTTTTTTCATAAAACTTCCAGGGTAACCGTGAACTTAAAATGTTTTTGCATTAAATCTTTTTGTATTTTTGAACTGTAGTAAGTTTTAAGTATTTATATAAATTTTGGGGTACGCAAGATATTTTAGGCATATTGTTGAAAGATTTAAATTTTATTTCGTAAAAGTTTTGATAAACTCTAGTTTCAAACTTAAAGTTCTGAATAAAAACATTTCAGAAACTGATTGTGCCACCATCTGTTAGATTTTACTTCAACTATTTCCATTAAAATTGATACAAGTATATATGCCCATAACCTATATATATTATTTTAACTTTATCAAATTCATACACAGCTGTTTATTAGTACTTATGTTTCGACGTTGTATGATTGAATCCTAAAATTTTATTGATTTGAAAGTTTTTAATTGTTCAGAAAAATATGGAGTTATCACGTTTACGTCAAAACATTTTCTTAATTGGTGATGTTGATGTCCAAATAGTGGGCAGTAAATTACCATAAAAATTGCAAGCTCTCAAAGTTTTATTATTTCATACACGTATTTTCAACGCTACTATACAAAAAATTATAGCTGCAGTAATTAATGAAGTTATTGTGTTTTCGAAAGAAGTTCAGATTCCCGTTCAAGATGTGCAAACATGCCGAGATAGATTGAAAAAATTATACGATTAGTGGCGCATACTTGTTAAACACGAAAACGGAAGTTATTGGGCGATAAAAAAACAAAATGAATTTGCCTGTTCATTAAAAAAATTATTTGACATTGCACTGTCGAATGTATTTGAAGTTATAACAATATTGTTATTGTTGATGAAATTCTGGAGAATTCTTAATCAATCAGAGATCAAATGATCGGATTGGATTTATTGTAAATATTAAAACAAAATATGATGACGATGATAAATATGTAAATCAAATAGACAAAGAAATGCATTTTGAAAAATGAAAAATGAAGAAGAAAAAGTAGTATTGGATAAATTATAAGAATCGAATATTGATTATTCAATACCGTAGATTTTCTTATCATTATATTTTATTACTTATTTGTTTTAGACAAAAATGTTAAACTTTTATACGGTTAAAGAGGTGCCCTATCTAATTTTTGGAGCTTAGTCTTCATCGGTGTCATTCCAGAAAAATTTAGTTTTCTGCCCTCCGGCCGGAAAGTGGCAACTTTCTGGCCGCTGCGCTAAACAAAGTTGCCACATTCCGGCTACGTCGAGCAGAAAAATAGTATACACACCTTGGCCAGTAAAAAGTAAAGCCTCAGATCACATGTTTGTCAACCTCGGCTTCGCCTCGGCCAACAATTACATGTGATCTGAGACTTTTCTTATTTTACTGGCCTAGGTATGTAATATACTATTTCGTAAACCAGGAGCTTGTCATCATGAACGATGGATAGCAAAAGCTATTTACGTACTAAAAATTACCTTTTTTGTGAACAATTACCATTGAGAAAAGGTGAAGACAGTGATCCGACAAATATGTGTTTTTATCACAACCATTTACCGTAAAGCTTGGTTTTTATCATCTAATGGTGTAAAAGGTCCGTACCATGATCTACAATCTATAAAAGAGCTCAACAACTTCAAATCAATCAACTGTGATCTTGTTACTAAAGCAATTCATAGATTCAGAAATCATTTATTGTACTTATCGCCCAAGGACTAACTCTTAATGTATAGTGTGGTCAGAGAGCATTTACTATTGTTGGAAGGTTGGTATCATTGTCAAATCATTATTTATGCTAGAAATATTGTAATAAAGTGACCAAAAAAAATGTTTAAATTATTATATCTCGACAACAAAACGATAAAGTGCTACTTTTTTTATTAATTGGAAAAAAAAGTTGAACTATATAAAAAATTAATTAATCAAAAAAAGTGAACATTATTAAATAAAAATCGGATATAGTTAAAAAATAATTTTATTTATTAATATAAATGCATTACTCGATAAAAAATTATAAAAAAATAGAAATAGTATCAAAATTATTAGTAGAAACTTGCTTAATAAAAAATAAAAAATTTATCGATCTACGAAATCTAAAATTGGCTAACATAGATCTTATTCAGACTAAGTAGAAGTTGATCCAAGCTAAAAGTTGATTGTAGCTTTAATTTCTGATTTCTCGGATAGAGTAAAGTAATTATTTAATTCTTCATAAATCTCTTTGTGAACAGAAGTAGTATTGATGAATAATTCTGACCTCTGCTGTTCAAGTGGTTTTTCGGTGTCTAAATATGTATTGAAAAATCCAATTTGTTCGTAATTATTTGTATTGTTTTTTTGGCACACCAATGGACTTGAACGGTAATTTTCCTCAAAATAATAAAGACATATATCACCAATTTATTTTTTCTGAATTACATTGAAAATAATAATTGTCTGACTTACTTTCAAAAATAGAACTGCTGCTTTTTCAAAATTTAAATTGGTATCCTCGATAATAAGTGTATAATTAACTCCATCATATTTAAATACTTGTGCAGAATTATTAACTATTTCTGCTTTATACGGAGCGACAAGTGTTACTAGTGAAATCTGATCTATAATGCATTTGATTGTCCTATAAATTTTTATCAACTATTCTACTTTATTTATATCAAACGAAATTTGTTGTTTCAATTACCATTAGTATTCAATTGATTATTTTGATTAATTATTGATAGTGCTGCCGGAGCATAGAGATAACAGTTGCTATAATTATTCATGGTATTAGTAGCTAAATGAATGACGTTTATTCTTTTGTTCAAATTGAACGGACTATCGAGAATAATTATAGTATAACTGTTATTGCCATTCGAAGATTTTTTTGAACTAATGCGACCATTAATAATACGAGAAAAATTGCGTAATTGGCAATCATCAACATTCTGGTCATTGAAGTCTTTGTAAGCCCAACAACCTGCAGCAATCCTATAATCACTCGTTGATCTAGAAAAAAAATTATTCAATTTTTTTATTTAAAAATTTATATAAAATTATAATTTATATAATGTGTTAGATTTCGAAATGGAGAATATACTCATATAATATTGTTGGATTCAATGTAATAACCGTTTGAGGGTGGATAATGGACCCGTAATCAAAGACTGAAAAACAGTAATCACAAAAATTTCATTAGATATCGATTATGAACTAACAAGTATCTCACATTCATTTCCCAAAACTTCAAATCCGGAATATGTCTGTTCAACTATCACTACTGCCCACGCTGATAAATTTACACTAACACTTTTTCTTTCTATTCGATTTAAATATGCAACAAAACAACCTTGGCTCAATGTAATAATGGTTGAAGTGATAAATATTTTTATTATAACTTTCATTTTTTAATCTAATCTAGCTTCTATTTTTTTGACTTGTAACTCACTGAAACAAATTAAATAGATTTTATTCGTATCCAACCAGCTATTTTTAATAATCACCACTTATCTACTTCAATATGATAATCTACTAGCTTAATATTACATTCTAAAAAACCAAGTGTTGTAGCATGTGTTCGATAAAAAGAAAATTAAGCTGTATATTTATTCAAATTGTATATAATTTCAATTAATTATACATGCTGGAAAATAACAAATGATTGGACTTGTTTAATCATTTCTTTTAATCATAATACGCATATTAACTATGATTGTACACGGTAAAAAAATTTTCGTCAAATTTAACACAAAAATTTGTGTTGATGACTTTTTTTACACAATTTGTGTTGAATCAACATACTAAAATGTTAAATTCTACACAAACATTTTTACACTTAACACAATGACAAAAAATTTTTTACTGTGTATCTTTAAAAATATAAGAATAGTTTTGTTAATCCAAATCTGTATATCTTAAGAGTTTATTTCATGTGTGAAATACATGAGCTCTTAACCCTACTTTAATCATCATAAACGGTCAAGTATGGCAGTGTATGAATCATGCATGACCAGATGACCACTCACATCTAAATATACATGATTGAGTACGGTTTCGCACTTCCCGTAAGAAACTTTCTCTGCTTTTAATTTTTATTACACTGAGTAAAAATTGCATACATAGCTGAATTATTAGTCACAAGTATAAAAATATAGTTTTCTCAACTTTTTTTTGTAGTTACTCGAACTATGCATTAGTTAAGTTAACAATAATGAAATTAAATTTCTATTTCACCAAGGAGGAACTGTCAAATATGCTTTGACTAGGAATTCAAATTGCGCGCATACGCGCGCGCTCTAGTCTTGAACCAATAAGGATTCAAAGTCCATGTTTTCGAGTTATTTTGATACGAAGCTAACTTCAATCAACCATCAATTTTAATATATTGGATAACAACTGATTCAACAGCGAGATATACAACGTTACATCTTGCATATCAGGAGAATAACTCTGATCTGATGAAACTTCTAAATAGAAGATATAACATGTATATTAATGCAGTAATTAATAATGGCCCCCAACTAACTCATATAGCTGATGCTCTGTCTGATTCTATTTATATTATGAAAGTCATGCTAAATTGTGGTGCTAATGTTAATGTCGAATTTAGACCGAATCTTTAATCAAAATACATCAACGACACTGAATGGTCTAATGATTTCGGAGAGAAAGAGAAAGTTTGGGCATTCTTAGTCATCTTCGTTTTTCGCGCAAGCCTAAGTCAAACTTCTTTACCAACAGTCTGGATCAATTCTAGCAACAAACTTGCTAGACAACCAATGCTACACAACAAACACCAGATTTGACCAAGTATTGCTCCAGATTTTCTTTTAAAATCTTGTTTAAGTTTGCCGTAAAAATCTGGACAAATAATCTTGGTAAATTTCAAAGTAATCCGGTAAATAGTTTCGGAGTAATAAGCGTATTTGTAAAGACGTCTCCGAGCGTTTGAAGGTAATTTAAATAACAGCCAAAACTTTAAATGCGTTTTTCTCGAAACGATGTTTTCAAAGCCGGTGAGGAATATTTCTCCGAAACCGCTTGATCGATTGACTTGAAATTTTTACAGGACCTTCATAGATACTTTTGTCAGGTAATGATCGAAGGAATAAAGTTTCTGATGAAAATTTCGATTTTTTTAAGTCACTTTAAAGTGTAAATTTTCGTGCAAAAAAAGATTTTTTTTTGGGAAGCCGCCATTTTATCTAAAATCAAAATTTTGACTATTTCTTCGATCATTACCTGTATTTATCTATCCTAAAAGTAATCCTTTTGGTTTTTTTTATTTCTGATAATTTGGATCAGAGATATCTTGCTCACCGCCAGACACCTTTTTGTGGAGGACCTTCAGGAGATCTTCTACAGGAACGACGGAACCCAATATTTTTATTAATAAAATATGAATTCTTAGAATACGTTAAATTCGCTAAATGTTCATATATTTTATGTATATATTCAATAAAAAGCCTCTCCAGAAAAAATTAACAAAAAACCACATTTTTTCGAACTTACAAGTGGATATAACCCCTTAACTGTCTTGCTGAAGAATTTCCCGATTGTCTTTCCAGGGCTTGTTCAACTATCTAGCCAAAGAATCTTATTCAAAACCAATGTTACTAGATTAGTAGTGATTAACTTCAACAGCTTGGATTAATGTTGTTTTTCTCTTGTTAGTTTTTAAATTGATGTCGGCACCGTGATTTAACAATAACTTCGTCATAATTATGAATTTCTGTAGAACTGAGTAGTGTAATAACAGAAAATCATGATTCTGCCATACTCCATTAAGATTGTTTTCTTTGAGGGCTCTGAAAAATTCTCTCTTCAATCGAAAATTAATGTCAGTGCCTGGGTCCAAAAAAAGGCCATTTCCATGTCATTCATTAGAATTGCTTTCGAAATTGGATGTCAGCTACATTTTGACGCTGAAGGAACACTTGCACCATTTTCAAGAAGATCTTGATCTGATTCCTGAGATATTTTATTGGATTAAAAAACTATATACAGTACCGACGGAAAATTTCCGGACAACCTTCTTGTTTCATTTTTAATTTAAATATGATACATAAACAAATTAATTTGATCTATAAAGAAAATACTATTTTATTTTACAAAGTGTGTACGATCGTGTCATTGACTTTCTTCTTGATTTATTTTACTTTTAATAATCGTTTTAATAAATTTTCATCTTGTCGGGAACCTTTCTTTCGGTAGTGTACGACGAAAAAAATATCACTCTTTGTTAGCTATCCAATGTATCGTCAACGTGATATCATGAGTAGCATAAAATTATTTTCACAATGCTGTATACAAATTTCTGTATTGCACGCCTCATAGCGCGAAGAGCGTGAGGTTGTGCTTTATACTCGACTCGCCAACGTCAAGCAATTTTGTGATCTTTAAATGTCTCTATCACAACCATATTACACTTATACAATAATATAAGTGGATGTACACCAAGAAAACACTTAAATTAAACGATCTTTTACTTTCTAAAATCATTTCATGTAGCTATTTTGAAAAAAAAAAAAAAAACGTTTTGAAAAAAATTTTACGTGGACGTCCGGATGTCACCCCATTTTGGATGTACCAACGAATACTCCCGAACAAATTGATATTTCAAGATCGGACCTTTTTTTATTAGTTTAAGAATGCGATGAACTGGGTCCGTATTTCATATCAGTAGCCTAGTTTACGTATTTTTTTTTTAAATTGAATTATTATTAAAATTCACTACGATACAACCGTGCAAAGACAAACGAATTTTTCTTATTTGTCACGTGAAAACTAAGGCGCCACTTAATCAAGCTAGATTTTTTTAGACTGCGTGCGCATATGACAAAAAAAAAGGGCGCTGATATTTAAAAAAAAAATACTCTGTAAGAAATTACTTAATTACAATTTTTTTGTTTTTAAATTACACAATTTATTTTTTCTTGAAAAATAAATGAGCGTTATGAGGCGTGCACTTTTGGATTTTCCAAACTTTTTTTGATATTTATATAATGGCTTTCTACGTTATCGCTACAATTACAGTACATGTATTGTTAATGAAATTTTTTCTCATTACATTTTAAAACACGAATGAAAATTTGAAGAATGTATTTTCTTAAATTGTTGAGTTTTTTTTAAGTATTTGTTGTTAAGAAACCCTAATTTGTTTAAAAGAAAAAATGTGGTTATATTTTTGTTTATGAAATAACTGTGACTGTGACATAGCGTTGTCCATTTATTTAATCAAACAAGAAGAAATGGATGCCTTTACTCCTTGAAAGATACCCTCATGTTATGATTAATTTTTTGACAGTAGATTTAAGAATATTGTAGTACTGAAGAGAAGATTGCTGATGTGTTGTAGCAATGCTACTGGCATCATATTATTATTTACATTATTGAAAATAACATTTTATAGGTAATGAATTGTATACACAACAATTTTTTTTCTTTTTAGGTAAATTTCTCTAGAAATCTAACTATTGCATTAGTCCTCAAGGTGGAATTTTCACCTGATTTTGCTATCATATGTTATAATTAGTCGAGTAGGTTCCAAAAATACCATTGGTTAAAAAATTTATATATGTATGTAATATAACCAGCCTTGTCATCAGGATATCTCAAAAAGTTTTCAACCGATCTTGATGAAACTTGGTACACATATTCTTTGGGTAATTACCGAGGTAGAGTTCGAAGATGAGCAAAATCGGTCTATTAGTTTAGAAATGGCGGCCATTTAAAATTTTCAAAATTTTGTAAATTTCAAGTTTTGTAACTTTAACGGTGAATAACTTTTGACTGACAGAAAAGAGCTCATTTCTGGAAGCTTAATGGTGAAGCTGATTATATTACCTTCAATTTGACCTATAACACTTATACTTTATGGAGATTTTTATTAATTTTATGGGCCATTCAAAAATTTTAAAATAATGAAAACTTTTTTTCAAATGTCGTTTTTTTAGAATGACTTTTAAACAGCTTTACCGACCGATTTCAAAAACTAATCAGGTCTTAACATAAAAAAAACTACGTCGATTGCCGCCGGACCGGTCAAAATCGCTTGATTCGTTTGTGAGATATCGTTGACGAAAAAAATCGAAAAAAGCGTTTTTTTCAAACAAATTCCGAAATTTTTTATCTGATCAATTCACAGTTTGAAATTCATCATAGAATTCAAAAAAACTGCATCTACTGTTGTCAACTACGTGATAATCGGTTAACTCGTTTAAAAGTTTTAGCGGATTGAAAATTAAAAAATTACATAAACATTTGTTATTCAACAAATTAAATAACATAAATAAAGAAAATCTCATATCACATAAAATCTACCTTTCATTTCGGGTGAGGCCGAATGGCATTTTTTAAACTATAACTTTCCAAGAAAAATATTTTTTTTTAAAGAAAGTGAATA